GTTTCACTTAAATAATCGAGGTCGACTCATTGTAAGTTTTCCTCATCGTATAAATATATAAAAAAGGTTAGACACACTCACCTTTGCCTCACTAATAAATCTTAGTGTCGGTTTTGCTTTCACTCCGATCCTTTGTCTCTTTCCTTTTGCTCAATTTAACTTGATTTGCGATCACAGTCTTGGCTATGAAGTTTCGTCTAGTTGCTGGAGAAAAGAATAGAATTTCACGAGAATTATAAAAAAATTTCCAATTATTAACTTTTAAAACTAATTAAATGAGTTTTTTTATTCCTTTTGGGCCAAAAACCAAAATTACCCTAAATGAATTCCTAAATTACACCCATTCCAATCATTCATCTCTATTTTAATAGTATTAAAAAACTGTAAAATTCTCATCTCTCAATTTTTCTTTTTGACCCTCCAATTTACTAAAATTTTATTTTAGTCACTAAATTGCACTATTTCAATTTATGGTGCAATTCTCAGCAAATTACACCAATCCAACTTAAATTTCACTAATTAAAAATATACATATAATTTTCCAAACCAAGTCTACCTTCCTTCAAATTTTTGTAATCTTCCGATTCGACCCAGTTATTCGAATAATATACCGATCTTTGTCCTTCAATAAACTTGTATACAAACTCCATATCAAAATTATGAAACCATTAAACTAATTTCTTAATCTAAATTACTAATTCACAAAATCTAAAATTTAACTTTTAAAATTTTACATTTTTAGTCCTTAAACTTTTACAATTTTACACTTTAGTCTCCAAACTTTCAAAATTTACATTCCAATCACCAACTCAAAATTTGTGATATTACAGAATACATGTTCAATAAGAAAATTTTAACTAATAATGGAAACCTTGTTGGCAGGGTTACGAAGGTCGACTGGAGGAAAGATACGAGAAACAAACGTCTCTTTGCAAGAGTTGATGTTTAGTGGTCGTAAAAAGCCACTCGTCTAAAAAATTCTTGTTGAAGAGAAAATTCAAGCCGTGGTCTATGAAAATATCCCGCTCATTTGCTTTACGTGTGGAAAATTTAGCCACCTCAAGGAAGCATACGTCAGTCTTATTTCAGAGACGAATCATGCCCTGGAATCTCATATTCTGTCTACTGCTCATGTCTCTATGGAAACGCCCAATCCCTCTCCCACAGTGGAGCGCAAAACGTGCACTGGTTAATATCAAATCAAAAATGTTGATTTTGACCCTTAGATGGTAGTCGATAGGAGACGCCGAAGATCCGCTGTCGACAGTGGTAAATGGGAAGAACGGCTCCCATAAGGAATCTAAATCTTCTGGCTCCAGGTTTGCCACTCTTCATGGAGAATCAGTCGAGATTATCGCCAACCCCCTGAACCAAGGAACCAACGATGCTACAGACTTGCTATCTTCTACTAATTCCCCCAAGGAAAGAGGCAGCTCTATTAATGAGAAAAATAAAGAGATTGATACGCCATGTCGTGTCATCAGGGTCCGTGGTTTCTTCTCCGCCTTTAGTGCCAGCTAGCCCTGTGAGTTGTGGATACACTTAGTTTGTTATTTTGTTATTTGTTAGTTTATATTAGATCGAATTTATTTCTAATTTAAATTTCAAATATTTGTATAATTGTTAGGCTTCCTAACAAAGTAAAAACTCTAGTCTATAAAAGACTACTTTGTATGATGTAACTTATGAGAAAAATATAGAAAACAGACGTGTTTTCAGATTTCACATGGTATCAACTTAGGTTCCAGTTTTTAAAAACCTAGCGATGACCAATTCTTATTCAAATGATGTCTACTCAATCACAGAACCAATTTTTGGTTCTGATGATGTTTCAGAATCCCTAAATTCGACTGTCACATGCCACAGATTACTGGGCCATAATTATCTTCAATTGTCACAGCCATTAAAGCTCATCATTACTGGAAAAGGTAAGATTGGGTATATTTCTAGCGATATTCAACAACCCAGCACGCTTGAACCAGGCTATGAAAAATGGGTGCGAGAAAATGGAATGGTCATGTCCTGGCTGATTAATTCCTTGGCACCTGCTATTAGGGAGAATTTTCTCCTTTATGGTACTGCCCATGACCTTTTGTGTGCAGTCTGTGAAACCTATTCGAGTTCATATAATGTTTCTAAAATTTTTGGGATTAAAAGCAACTCAAACAAGATGCAATGACTGTCACTCTTTATTACAATACTCTCACTTGTCTCTGACAGCAGCTTGATCTCTATGATATGCATGATTGGGAAACTCCTACTGATGCAGCCCTGTACAAAATGATCATTACACAGCGAATGATTTTTCAATTTCTGAACGGATTAAATAATGACATGGATGATGTTTGTGGCAGGATTCTTGCCACTAAGCCTCTTCCTTCCATTTGGACCAAACTTAAAGAAATTCTCAATCAGGAAGAGTTGCTTTGGAAGTAGAAATCTTGTGATAAGTGGATTATTGAAGGAGATCAGAATACTAAGTACTTTCATAACCGTGTTATAACCCGACGGAAAGGCAACCATATTCGTGCTCTTCGCATTGGCAGTGGTGATTGGTGCTTTGAGGATGATATCCTCCAGGATGAGGCTACTAAATTCTTCTCTAAGCTTTATCATGATGAGGGGATCAAGGCTGGTGCTTTTCCAATCTGAGATGATTTCCCTTCTCTTTCGGACAAGGAGGTTCGAGCGCTTTATGCTCTAATCTCCAATGAAGAAGTTCGCAGGGCGCTCTTTGATATGAGCCTCATCAAATCTACGGGCGTGGATGGTATGAATGCTATTTTCTTCCAAAGTCAGGCATATTATTGGTCCCTCAGTTTGTTCTTGGGTGAAGGACATCTTCAATGGGAAGCCTAATGAATACGATCTTAATATGACCTTGATTGTTCTCGTCCCCAAGATTAGTAGTCAATAATCCTTTACGGACTTTAGGCCGATCAGCCTTTGCAAAGTTCTCTACAAGCTCATTATGAAGATTATTGCTAATCGTTTCAAAGTTGTGTTCCCGAGGATCATAGCGCAGAACCAAGCCAGCTTTATTGCGTGTAAAAGCATCACTAATAACATTCTGGTGGCCCAGGAAGTTATTCATTCTATGCCGAAAAAAATGGGGAACACCCATGGGATGGCAATTAAAGTAGACTTGAAGAAGGCCTATGACCGTGTCACTTGGGATTTTCTTTTTGATTCTCTTACGGACCCTAGCCATAATCCATCGTATTGTCATGAACATGGTTTTTTCCGCTAGTATATGTATCTTGTGGAATGGCTCGGTTTTCAAACCTAATCGGGGGAACAGACAGGGTTATCCTCTATCGCCATATTTATTCGTGTTATGTATGGAACGTCTGGGCCAAAGTATCTATCATGCTCAGCAGCTCGTTCTCTGGGAGTCTATGGTCCTTTCTCAATGAGGGCCTTGTCTATCCCACCTCTTCTTTGCTGATGATGGATGACCTTCAATCAGGCCCTCCTCACTAAAGCAATGTTGGATTAGTTCAATAGATTTTCTGGTCACAAGGTTAATTCGGCTAAAACTAAAGTCTTCTTTTCTAATAATGTTTCCGATAAGTTAGTTGATGACCTCTGTGCTGCTCTGGGTTTTCAAAGGTCCTCCAACTTGGGTTCTTATCTGGAAATACCTCTGTTCTATAGTTGTATCACTACGAGCACCTTTCAGTTTATCGTCGATAAAGTTCAGTCCAAGCTTAATAATTGGGTGGCTTTGAAGCTTTCTCTGGCTGGCCGCATCACCCTAGCCAAATCCACCATTTTAGCCATCCCCAATTACTTCATACAAACGTTAGCCATCCCAAAGGGCACCTGTAATAAAATTGAAGCCATTGCCCGCCGCTTCATTTGGGGCGGTACTGTTGATCATCCGAAAATGACTCTTGTTAAGTGGGACACTTGTTGTCAACCGAATGACCATGATGGTCTAGGTATTTGGCCGTTGCATACTCAGAATGATGCTTTTCTTATTAAGATTGGATTCCAGCTCACGATGCATCTCAATGCTCTATAGGTTAGGATATGCCGCTCTAAGTATAAAGTCCATAGTTCTATGCCCTAAGTATTGATTCCAGGAATTGCTCTTTCGTGTGGCGTTCGTTAGCTAAAGTTTGGCATTTTGATTGCTCTAATATTTGCTGGTCTATAGGCAATGAGAGGACCGCTCGATTTTGGTTGGATGCCTAGATCCCTAGTAAGGAATCGATCGCTAGCAAGATGCATAGTGCTGCCTCCGGGGATCTTGTTGCCGTTGTCCGGGACTTTTCAAATTCGGAGGGTAATTGGGATATCCCCAAACTTCATAATTTGGTTGAGGATATTATTTGTGATATCATTGCTCTTCCTCCGTCTAATGAAGCCAGTGCCAAGCTCCTTACTTGGTGTTGGGAGGATTCGAGTCTTTGCTCAGTCAAGACAACCTACCGTATCCTCTATAGCAACATCTAGGATAATCACGACAACTTATAGAAGCTTGCTTGGAATTTTGATGGGCCGCAGCACATTCGTAACTTCTTTTGGTTGGCTTTAAGGAACTGATTGCAAAAGAATATGGAGAGATTGCGGCGTGGGTTAACTACTGAGGGTCGATGCCAGGTTTGTGGGGACTGTGATGAGATGATCCTTCATGCGATTCGTGATTGTCGTGAGGCCAGGACTACTTGGATGCACATTCTTCCTCCTTGCATTTCAGGAATTTTCTTTTCCCTATCTTTTCATGATTGGCTCCATACTAATCTCACTATTTCTACAGGGACTGATGGAAACTCCTTATGCTGGAGACATATGTTCGGAATTGTGATGTGGCGCCTTTAGAAGAATCAGTGCAACTTTTTGTTCAATGGAGAGAGCTGGTCATCGGCGATAATTATTCAAAATACGCAAGTTTGGGCGCGGGCGTGGCGATAATTATTGGTACCCTCCTGAGGAAAAGAATGTATCTGGAAACAGTCTTTAGACGGGAAGATAGATCAAGAGCTGGAAAGAAAATACAGTTTGTTCCACTCCTGGATGTCGTTGTTGGGAGATACGACAGCAGCAGCAACAATACCAATAGCCAACGTTTTGATGCACCCATGGCCTCGAGATAGCTTCCGAGATATATGCTTACAGTACTTACAAGCATCGTGAAACAATGCCAATTCAGTAGGGTCAGCAGCACCATTCATTGCTTTTTCATTCTGAAAAAGACCAAAAGGAAATCAGGTTACATGTGAAAACCTACTGACTACCATTTAAAAAAAGACTGCCAAGTAGGACCTCTAGTCCAGCTAGTTTGAAATTGCTCCAATTAAAAGATTGAAATTTTCAAGTTGTAGTATCGTATAAGTATTAAATGACGGGAGGTATTCTTCATCAGTTCTTGATCGGTTAAATCATTTTATGTATGTTACCAAGCTGAGCAGGCCACCTACTCCCAATCCAACCAATCAGATTAATATAATTCGATTTTTTTGCAACTAGGTGGATGATTGGTAAAAAAATCGGATGGTATTGGCTAGTTTGTAGTAGAATGCTTATGAAAGTACCTTGTTTGTCAAATTCTTGATGGCTTCCCTCATGTGATCAAGAGTAATAAATTTTGCAATTTGCTCTTTTCATTCCTCTAAAAGTCTTTTAAGAACAGCAACACGAGCTTTTAGATCGTCAATATGAACCTTATCATGTTCACATAAAGCGAAAGAAAAGAATAAATAGGAAAAACCCATGTGGTCCAACTCTTTATCTTTCTTCAAGTACCGTGTCCAATACTCGTCAACACATATCCGGACATAGATATGGGGACATGACCCTCCAAAAGTCCAAATTCATGAAGGGGGAACCCTTAAGATGTCAGAGTATAAATAACATCGGGAAAAAAGTAAAAGATTTATCATCCATAAATGTGCTTGGTAACACAGTAAAATAGCTTACCCACTGCCTGTAGCATTCAGCATTCTGGTTCAAACACCAAATAACTATTTCAGCCCCTTCTTTCGATAAAGCAGGAGAGCCTGTTTACAAAAGATAAAAGAATAATTCTTATGCTGAAACCACCATTAGAATAAGCGGATGAAGGGGACTGAAGGGGGAAGGAGGGGGAATTGAAAAGAAGTAGAATTTTCAAAAAAGAGAATACTTTCTCCGGCTGCCACGATAGCTAAGTTGAATATCTGCTGAGATGCTTGTCTCATTGCTTTGCTTCCATGAGAACCAACGAGAGCCACTTCATTTAGAATGGGATATATGGCCTCAAACCTCTTGGTTGCCTACACCGATAAGGTAATAACAGAGTTTAAATGAAGTGAGAAAACACAATCTTTTAAATCAAAACACTGCTAGAGCAAATGGATTCGGTCAAACTCTTAATCTACCTTTACTCTAGCTGAAGATGCAGGGAAGGTAACTCGCATTAGTATATCAAATGAAGATGGTGTCACCAAGCATTCCCCTTTTCTAGCAGCACCATTTACTAAAATAGTCCGAGCTTTTGAGGCAGATAAGATCCTTCACCAAAGAAAGGAACCCAATAAGCCTTATGTATTTGAAACTCAGAACCGAAAAAGGCAAAAAATTTAGATGCTCTAATATCATTCCACTAGCAGTAAAATCAGATCCATGGACTGTGAATTGCAGTTTTTGCCACTAATGATCGGCAAAAGGTGATGGGCCCACAAGAATAGCCCCATGGCAAGATCTCCTTGGGATGCCTTTACAGTACAATGTTGATGGATCAACAAGAAACATATAAAATAAGGATTAATAAATTGTAAACCATCTTTGAGAAACATAAATCAATTAGACTGAAAATGTTAGCTATCCGCTTACCGAAGCATCATCCATACAATAACAGGGAGCTTATCTTGACCTTGATATTTTGAATTTTCTCTTAGATTTGGTAACACAATAATTAGGGCATCAGATTTAAGCCGTAAAACCACTGCTAACGCCACAAATGTTCCTACCTGCATAACATGTTTCTATATCAAATCCATTGAGAAGGAGATGCCTTTTCTTGCCAAAAGTTTGAGGTGGATACTTTTGTATTAAGGCCATCTCCAGCCCTCATCTCTACTATACAGCATCTCTATCTCTACTCTAAAGATGAAACAGTAATTTATCTCCAGCACTATCTCTACATATAATAACAAAAACCAAGAATAAGAAAAATTACAAAAAAATGTAGCGCAGCTACAATGCAACGCTAGTTGTAGCGTGCACTTTAGATGTCGCTACAATGCAGCTACAAAGTGGCGATAGGCTGGAGCATAAGATCATCTCCAAAGTGGAGATTTTCGCCAGTCCAGCGATGCGTTGGAGATGGCCTAATAAAAGTATGCATAATAGTATAAATTTCTCTATGGAGAATAGGATAAAAGGTTCCACGAGTTTATGGGGTGAAATAAAATTCAATCTCCCAATTCTTAATAAATGCAACCAATAAGGCATTAACTTCCAGATCTACCATATAACATGATTTTCAAAACATTTATTGTCAATGCCAGTTATCATGTACGCCACCAAGGGAAACTTCCCATCAACAAAGGCATTATCCAGTCGAATGGTGTATAAAATGTAAAAGCTAATGCACGCTACTATTCAAAAGGGAATTACCAATATAAAGTCAAGTACTCAACAGCATACAACATCATTGTATCATCCTCCATACCGGGTTAGTGATCAAATTGTGACATTTAAAAATTCAGTAACCAAATTGGATAAATTAAAAAGTTCAAAGAATTTATTTAAATGTTTTGTGTAGGAGCAATTAGCAAAGAATGAGGAACTAAAGGGGTAAATAAGTCTTTTAATAAGGGAAGCAATTAAATATTACTTTTGAAGGGATATTTTAATACCACGTGGAAGATAATTGGGGAAAACCAAAGTTCCAGATTTCTCTTCTTCTTCATTATTCTTCTCCACCGTGAGACCAAGCTAAAGGTGAGTTTTCTTGTTGATCAAATTTTTGATGAATTTAAGGTTGCTTATTGATCATTAGATGATAACTAAGCTTAAGGAAAGCTTAGATTATCTTAAAACCATAAGATGAGGAGTACATGAAGAATTAAAAAAAGGAAGTAGAAAAGTGAAATCTTGGATTAGAGTTCAAAATAAGAATTAGAAGTGCTAATTAAGGAATAGGAAGTGTTATAATTAGATTAAGAACATGTTGGAAGTTGAGTGAGATTCTTAAATTCTATATGGAGAATTGAATTTCTAAGTTTTAGAGGTATGGAATGGATACTAATTAGTTTAAGTAAGAGTAAGCAAGTTAGGGATATAAAAAGAGGGGATATATAAAGTGTTGAGAAGATTATGAAGAGATTTTGCGTGCTAAAATGACATTTCTGGGCAATGTGCATAGATGCACATTCAATGTGTACCGATGCATCAAGGATAAATTCCAGAAATTGTTCAAGGTGTATCAATGCACTACTTTAAAATAAAAACATCAAATGCCATCAGTGTATCGATGCACAAGTAGTGCATCGATGCACCCCCTTAAATACAAACATCGAATAGGATTTATGTATCGATGCATAGATAGTGCATCGATGCACCCGTCAAAGGATGCATCGATATATGGTGTAGTGCATCGATGCATACCTTCATTAAAAGATGAAAATGGCTTTTCTTTTAGCCTAAGGAATGATAGTTTAGAATATATTAATTAGTATACTGATAAGTATCAATGAATTACTATGTAGATACAGAGCATAAACAAGTTCCAGAACAATTGCCTTGTAAGATCGATCGAGGAAAAAGCAAGGAAGTATAGGTGAGTGCATATGCATAACATGATTATAACGATATATTTAGTTCTAGACTTGTGAGAAGTCTAGATTCAATACATTGATGCATGATTCATTTCATATTGTGAAGCGTGATATGAATTCATACTATATGCATTGTATAACATGTTTTAAATGAATATGTATGCAAAGTTATATGAGCCATGTGATGAAGGTAAGGAAATGATATGTCTATGTGATATACTATGTAATTTGGGAAAAGCCCATGTTATGTAGATGAGAACTACAGGTATAGTTGGCATGCCAAGAGTAGAGAGTCTACGCGGTTCTTCGGGACATATATGTATTCTTTGGAACATGTGTGAGGTCTTTTGAGACACATACTTGATCCTTGGCATATGTATATGATTCTTAAGGAATTTTATACGTGGTCCTTAAGGACAATCTTATATAGCACTACGGTGCAATTCTACGTGGCACTTCGGTGCAATTCTACGTGGCACTTCGGTGCATTTATACGAGCTATGGTGACAGCATAGTACACAACCTCACAGTACTCACATACCTTAGGTTCTCAGTATGGTATCATGGGCCAATAATCTTATTAATATGAATTCATGAATGTTAATGTACTATACTTATAGGTAAGGAACATGGTGATATAAACTGCATGGTTAAGTATTTGATTTCATCTTATTCCATTTTATTATGGCATTTTCATTACATTTCTTTGTTATTATTATTATATTGCCTCACTAAGTCAATGACTTAGCGTGTGAGTGTTTCACACGTAGGATTCGAGAAAGTAGACGAGACAGGTTAAGCTGCTGGACAACACTACTCCTGCAACTATCATATCAGAGGCAACTTAATCAGTAGGTCCTTTTGTTATGTAAATGAATGTTGGCATGTAATCAAAGGGTCAAGTTGTGTATGCTCTGAGTATTTTGATAAACTTGTATTAACATATGTATATTATTGTATTTTAATAATATAAGTTCAAATGTTTTATCGTTTTTTAAGAGTATTGTTTTGTATAGTCAATGTGACATCCTGGACTCTTATCCGGGTCGGGTATGGGTTGAGGGTGTTATATTTAATGGTATCAGAGATATGGTTTAGTCGATTCAAGGCATAAACCAGAGTCTATAGAGTATTTAAATGGAATGCATGCCAACAAATAGTGAGAACTTCTGATCTGGTATAGTATGAGTATGCTGTTTTGCTAATAGAACAGTGTGTTTATTTTATTAGATGTCCGGACATAATAGCTCCCGAAGTGAAGCGGAAGAAAATAGGCCTGCTGAAAACAGTAATTCACCTGCCCTGGCCAGGCAAGGTGAAGGACAGACATCTCAGGGAGTGCCTGTACAAGACCAAGACACTTTCTTCAGGACGTTGGATGCTATTCTGACGCGTCTTCAACCTCTTGCCCCACCAATTCAAAGAATGAATGTAGCAAAAGAGTTGAGAAGTTTGGGAGCTCCCGAATTTAAGGAAGAATATGAGGAAGGTCCGGTTGCGGCGGATCTTTGTTAAATGATTTAAAAATCATGTTGGATGGTCTCCACTGTTATGAAGTGGAGAAGTTAGATGGAGCTATCTCGTTACTGAGGGGTCAGGCGAGGATATGGTGGACGAACATCGCCATGAGGATGTCAAGTGACCAGTTGACTTGGTCTTTATTCTTAGATGAATTTAAAAACAAGTATATAGGAGACCAATTCATTCAAAAAATGAAGTAGGAGTTTATGAACTTGAAACAGATGAACCGCTCCGTATATGAGTATGAATACGAGTTCAACAAGCTGAGTCAGTTTGCATCTGAGCTTGTGCCTACTGAAAAAGATGCGTGTGAATGGTTTGTGGAGGGCTTACGCCTTAGATTGAAAGAAATGATGATAGTATTGAATTTGTCCTCATTCCAAGAGGTGATTAATCGTGCCAAAGCTCTTGAAAGAGCTCAAAATGAGAGATTCGGGGACTTAAGAGTTCAGACATCAAAGAGGAAGGGTGTTTCTTCCAGCTCAGTACTATCAAAAAGAGAAAGAGACTCAGGATTTCAATCACAAGTTAGATAAGAATCAGTTGCATCATTTGCTAGAGGAGCAAGTCAGGCAAAGCCAAGACAGATACAGTCAGTGGGATCTGGTGTTAGGAGATCCAACCAGGGTCAAGCAAGACAGTGTCAACATTGTGGGAAAAACCATTTTGGGGCGTGTCGGATGGCTGCCGGGACTTGTTTCCGATGCGGAGATGCTGGACATTTTATCTGGGATTGTCCGTTGATCGTTGGTGAACCTGCACCATCTGAGAGAGTTGGTTCTGCCTCATAGAGAGGACGAGGAAGAGGCAGAGGAATGAACCAGTATGAATCCTCTTCTCAACATGAAGTTCGGTCAACTGCACGGGTATACAATTTAAAGAAAAGTGAAGACCGTGATGATCCCGATATTATAGCAGGTACTTTTCAGCTGTATTATAAATTAGTATTGGTATTGATTGATCCGGGTTCTAATTATTCTTACATTACAAGTAAATTAGTAAAAGAATTGAGGATCCCCTTAGAAGCCACGAGTAATGAAATTATAGTAACTAATCCTTTAGGCCATAGTGCTCGGGTGAACAAAGTATGTAAGGGGTGTCCCATAAAGATTCAGGGAATTGAATTCCCTGTTAATCTGATGGAATTGCCCTTTGACGATTTTGAAGTGATTATGGGAATAGATTGGTTGTTCTGTTACTATGGGGATGTTAATTGCATATCGAAAAAGGTAACCCTAAAGAGTCCAGGAGTAATATAAATAAGTGTGATCAGTGAAAGGTTTAATCCTTTAGCGAATGTAATAACATTAATGTCTGCTAAGAAGCTATTGCTACAAGGATGTCAAGGTTTTCTTGCAAATGTGATAGATACAAGAGCTGAAGAGAAAGGATTAGATGAGATTTCAATAGTTCGGGAATTCCTTGATGTTTTCCCTGCTAAGTTGTCAGGATTACCTCTAGATAGAGAGGTAGAATTTCAAATTGAAGTAATACCAGGAACAACTCCGATTGCAATGGCACCTTATCGGATGGCTCCGAAAGAATTGCAAGAGTTAAAGAATCAATTGCAAGAGTTGTTAGAGAAGGGATTTATTCGACCAAGTGTGTCGCCTTGGGGAGCTCCGGTGTTATTTGTTAAGAAGAAGGATAGGTCAATGCGTCTCTGCATTGATTATCGACAGCTTAATAAGGTGACCATCAAGAATAAGTATCCCCTCCCACGCATTGATGACTTGTTTGATCAGCTAAAAGGAGCTTCGGTATTTTCTAAGATCGATCTACGTTTGGGTTATCACCAATTGAAGATTCAGGAGAAGGACATTCCAAAGACTGCTTTTAGAACGAGATATGACCATTATGAATTCATTGTAATGCCATTCGGAGTAACGAATGCACCTTCTGCTTTCATTGATCTCATGAACAGGATTTTTCAGCCCTATTTGGATCAGTTTGTTGTTGTCTTTATTAATGACATACTGGTTTACTCAAAGTTCATTGAAGAGCATAGTGCACATTTGCGAATAGTTTTACAAATTCTCAAGGATAATAAGCTTTATGCCAAATTGTCCAATTGTGAATTTTGGCTAAATAAAGTAATTTTCTTGGGGCATGTGATCTCTGCAGATGGGATTCGGGTGGACCCTCAAAAGGTAAAAGCTATAATAGACTGGGAAGTTCCAAAGAATGTATCCGAAGTTTGGAGTTTCCTTGGACTTGTCGGTTATTATCGAAGGTTCGTTAAGAATTTTTTCGATGATAGTACTGCCTTTAACGAAGTTGATGAGAAAGAATGTACCATTTGTTTGTACTTCTGAATGTCAAGAAATTTTTGAAGCTTTAAAGAGAATTCTAACAGAAACTCCTGTATTGGTTCAACCAGAATCTGGTAAGAATTTTGTTGTATACAGTGACGCGTCCCACAATGGGTTGGGGTGTGTATTAATGTAAGAAGGGAACGTGGTAGCGTATGCATCGAGACAGTTGAAACCACATGAAAAGAATTACCCCACCCATGATTTAGAAATGACTGCAGTGGTGTTCGCTCTCAAGATTTGGCGTCATTATCTGTATGGAGAACGATTGTATACGGATCATAAGAGCTTGAAATACCTGATGACTCAAAAAGAGCTTAATTTGAGACAAAAGAGATGGGTTGAGTTTTTGAGAGATTATGATATAATAATTGACTATCATCCCGGAAAGGCTAACGTGGTAGCAGATGCTTTGAGTAGAAAAACGTTTGCAGCTTTACGAGCTATGGATGCAAGGTTATCTTTGACTAGAGACGATGGTCTATGTGCAGAGTTAAAACTTAAACCATCATGGTTGGACCGAATAGGAGAATTGCAAAGCTAAGATGAAATATGTTTGAAAAGAATAGATCAAGTAAAGAATAAGGAAATTAAGGATTTTGAGGTAAAGTCTAATGGGAAATTGTATTATAAAGAAAGAATTATGATACCAGACGATAAAAAGTTGAAGAAAGATTTATTGACAGAGGCTCATTGCAGTTCATTGACAATGCACCCGGGTGGAACCAATATGTATATTGATTTAAAAGATTGGTATTGGTGGCCAGGGATGAAACGAAGCATTACTGAATTTGTGTCCAAGTGCTTAACATGTCAGCAAGTCAAAGCCGAACATCAAGTTCCGCCTGGATTATTGCAAACACTTTCCATTCCACAATGGAAGAGGGAAAAATGTAATGATGGATTTCGTTTCGAGGTTACCCCTGACTCCAAACAAAAGGGATTCGATCTGGGTAATTGTTGATCGATTGACCAAGTCAGCACATTTTTTTCCTGTCAGAACAGATTTCTCTATGGAAAAGTATTCGGAGCTGTATATTAGAGAAATTATTAGATTTCATGGAGTGCCTGTTTCTATAATTTCTGATCGAGATCCTCGATTCACCTCGAGATTCTGGAAATCCTTGCATGGAGCGTTGGGGACTCGCTTAAATTTTAGTACCGCCTTTCACCCTCAGACAGACGGGCAATCAGAAAGAACAATTCAAATATTGGAAGATATGTTGCGAGCATGTGTCATTGAGTTTAAAGGGTCGTGGGAGAAATACTTACCACTAGTTATCAGTCCAGTATTAAAAATGGCACCCTATGAGGCGTTATATGGGAGGAAATGTCGTACGCCATTAAACTAGTATGAGCTCAAAGATCGAAATGTACTCGGTCTAGATTTGATTCAAGATATGAAAGAGAAAGTTCGGGAAATTCAACATAACCTAAAAGTGACATTTGATCGGCAAAAGTCCTATTCTGACCTTAAAAGAAAGGAGATTGAATTTGAAGTTAGGGATAAAGTGTTTCTGAAGGTATCACCATGGAAAAAAGTATTACGATTTGGTCGGAAAGGAAAGCTAAGTCCTAGATTTATCGGGCCATATGAATTTGTTAAAAAGAATAGGACCAATGGCATTCCAGTTATCTTTGCCACCAGAAATTGAGAAAATCCATAATGTTTTCCATGTGTCCATGTTACGAAGATATAGGTCCGATCCCTCTTACATTGTTGCACCAGAACAAGTAGAAGTTCAATCTGATTTGACCTATGAAGAGGAACCAATACAAATATTGATCACGAAGTTAAGCAATTGAGAAATAAAACGGTTTCGTTGGTAAAAGTTCTTTGGAGAAATCACAAGGTAGAAGAAGCCACGTGGGAACATGAAGAAGATATGCGGCTTCAATATTCTCATCTGTTCGTACAATGAAAATTCGAGGACGAATTTTTCTTAAGGGAGGGAGATTTGTAACATCCTCCATACCGGGTTAGTGATCAAATTGTGAGATTTAAAAATTCAGTGACCAAATTGGATAAATTAAAAAGTTCAAAGAATTTATTTAAATGTTTTGTGTAGGAGCAATTAGCAAAGAAATAGGAACTAAAGGGGTAAATAAGTCTTTTATTAAGGGAAGCAATTAAATATTACTTTTGAAGGGATATTTTAATACCACGTGGAAGATAATTGGGGAAAACCAAAGTTCCAGATTTCTCTTCTTCTTCATTCTTCTTCTCCACCGTGAGACCAAGCTAATGGTGAGTTTTCTTGTTGATCAAATTCTTGATGAATTTAAGGTTGCTTATTGATCATTAGATGATAACTAAGCTTAAGGAAAATTTAGATTATCTTAAAAACATAAGATGAGGAGAACATGAAGAATTAAAGAAAGGAAGTAGAAAAGTAAAATCTTGGATTAGAGTTCATAATAAGAATTAGAAGTGGGATTTGACTTGTCATCAAGCTAATTAAGGAATAGGAAATGTTAGAATTAGATTAAGAACATGTTGGAAGTTGAGTGAGATTTTTGAATTCTATATGGAGAATTGGATTTCTAAGTTTTAGAGGTATGGAATGGATAATAATTAGTTTAAGTAAGAGTATGCAAGTTAGGGATGTAAAAAGAGGGGAAATATAAAGTGTTGAGAAGATTATGAAGAGATTTTCGTGCTAAAATGACATTTCTGGGCAATGTGCATAGATGCACATTCAATGTGTACCGATACATCAAGGATAAATCCCAGAAATTGTTCAAGGTGTATCGATGCACTACTTTAAAATAAAAACATCGAATGCCATCAGTGTATCGATGCACAAGTAGTGCATCGATGCACCCCCTTAAATACAAACATCGAATAGGATTTATGTATCGATGCATAGATAGTGCATCAATGCACCCGTCAAGGGATGCATCGATACATGGTGTAGTGCATCGATGCATACTTTCATTAAAAGATGAAAATGACTTTTCTTTTAGCCTAAGGAATGATAGTTGAGAATATATTAATTAGTATACTAATAAGTATCAATGAATTACTATGTAGATACAGATCCTAAACAAGTTCCAGAACAATTTCCTAGTAAGATCGATCGAGGAAAAAACAAGGAAATATAGGTGAGTGCATATGCATAACATGATTATAACGATATATTTAGTTCTAGATTTGTGAGAAGTCTAGATTCAATACATTGATGCATGATTCATTTCATGTTGTGAAGCATGATATGAATTCATACTATGTGCATTGTGTAACATGTTTTAAATGAATATGTATGCAAAGTTATATGAGCCATGTGATGAAGGTAAGGAAATGATATGTCTATGTGATATACTATGTAATTTGGGAAAAGCCCATGTTATGTAGATTAGAACTATAGGTATAGTTGGTATGCCAAGAGTAGAGGGTCTACGCGGTCCTTCGGGACATATATGTATTCTTTGGAACATGTGTGAGGTCTTTTGAGACACATACTTGATCCTTGGTATATGTATATGATTCTTAAGGAATTTTCTACGTGGTCCTTAGGGATAATCTTATATGGCACTACGATGCAATTCTACGCGGCACTTCGGTGCAATTCTACATGGCACTTCGGTGCATTTATACAAGCTGTTGTGACAACATAGTGCACAACCTCACAGTACTCACATACCTTAGGTTCTCAGTATGGTATCATGTGCCAATAATCTTATTAATACGAATTCATAAATGTTAATGTACTATGCTTGCAGGTAAGGAACATGGTGATATAAACTGCATGGTTAAGTATTTGATTTCATCTCATTCCATTTTATTATGTCATTTTCATTACATTTCTTTGTTGTTATTATTATTATATTGCCTCACTAAGTCGATGACTTAGCGTGTGAGTGTTTCACACGTAGGATCCGAGAAAGTAGATGAGACAAGTTAAGCAACTGGACAACACTACTCCTGCAACTATCAGATCAGATGCAACTTAATCTGTAGGTCCTTTTGTTATGTAAATGAATGTTAGCATGTAATCAAATGGTCAAGTTGTGTATGCTCTGAGTATTTTGATAAACTTGTATTAACATATGTATATTATTGTATTTTAATAATATAAGTTCAAATGTTTTATCATTTTTTTAAGAGTATTTTTTTATATAGTCAATGTGACATCCTGAACTCGTATCTGGGTCGGGTGTGGGTTGAGGGTGTTACAATCATAATCTAGAAGAAAAGAAAGGGAAATAACCAATCTAACAGAAGACCCACCAATGAAGTTACCTTTGACTTAGATGACATCTGTTGCACACCTTTTTTAGAGCCCTTAGCACTTGCTTGTTGGGCCACCAAGTCCTAAGAATGATATCTAAAGACCATAAGATAAAGAAACCAATTGCCTCAAGGGATTGTTGGCTGATCCAATCAGCTGATGTCTTATAAGCAGCATCAGAAATATGCGAAAGAGGCACATGTCAAAGGAAAATTTTACTACTTTCGTAAGAAACAAAAAGGAAATCCTCCTACAGTGACCAAAAGTAATTTAATGAACATCTGAAAAGAATATAACAGATGAAAACAACAACAAGAGTTCACTATCACCCTCAGATAAATGATGTTTGAAATAAGCATTCAAAGTGCATATTTTAATATTACATAGGCAAAATTAAGAACCTCTTGATGCAAATCATCTCTTTTATACAAACTTTTTCACCTTTAACAGCTAAGTTATATTTCTTATACCAACTTGTTCAACTTTGAAAGAGCTGGCTTTATGCTGTCTACTGTATGAAGCCCTCCCCTGCTTTTTGCAGAGAGGATGGGTGTCGGTAGCCACAGTAAGGTTGACTATAAGGTTTCAAGTAGAGTCATGTTTACAGTAACCAGTAACCAGAAAAGTATTTGACTGGCTTCTTACAGAACACTGAATGCGACAATTAACACATACTGCAAAATGCTAAGCACTCCCTTCTGTACAGAAGAATCCAAATTAGTGAATAATATTGAGAATTACAAGAGTGGGCTATCTTTATTCCTAGCAATCATTGGTAAAAGTATTAAATTTGAACATTCAAACATGGAAAATATTTTGTTTTAAGGAAATAAATAATCTAAAATTCATTCGTTTCACCCATCAAATCTCACAAGTTTCAAACTTCCAATTGCCAACAGAAATACTAAAGAAATGAGAAATGGACATAACTCACATCAGCAAGCTTGATAATGGTACTTTCCCTAAACATCTTCATCTATGGAAACTGTTCAGTTACCACTTCCTGAAACGCCTTCCCATAAAGATCCGCAAAATTCTACATTTGAATTTCCGGCTGTTCTCCATTAAACTCCTAATTTTCCAAACCAATAAAAAAATAGTCAATCAATCAACAAGTTACGAAACAATCAAAAAGACATAAAATATATCATTTTCTACGCTTACAGCGAGATAAGCCGAGAGATCAGCGGGATCGATCTTCACAGCGACCTCTGCAACCGTAACCTTAGGCTTCTTCGGCTTCTTTTGCTTCACATTCTTCTACTCTGCCAACTTTCTTTCAGGTTTAACACCTTCCATATCATTGTTGTCCTCACTATCGTCGTCATCGAAGTCCGATCTGTTATGTTTCGCCTTCATATTAGCATCAACATCAATGTAAGTATCGTAACCGTATTTCGGGTTCGCTCAGAATTAGGCTTCGGGTGTGCTCAGAATTGAGCTTCAACTTAAATAAGTGGTTAGAATCGTCATCGATCATTTATATTTAAGAACAAAAATTAGGTTGACCGGACACATCGGTTTGGTTTCTTACCTGATCTGCGTCTTACCAAAAATATGTTAGGCTCGGGAGTCGATTACAGTCAAGGAATGATTAGCACCCTTGTACTGCCCTTTCGGTACTAATTAAATTTTTAGTTGTCTTAATTAAGAAAATTGCAAATTAAATTAAAAAGTAAAAATTCGATCCAAATTACTTACCTCCAATTGATTAAAAAATAACCCTAAAAAGTCAAAAAGATGTTAAATTGTAAAAATAAAATATTGAATGAATCAAAAAGAAAAATTAGCAAAAATTAAATTTTAATACTTTAAATGAAACAAAGAAAAAAGAAACACACACATATATACATACCGAGAAAATAAACGGAAATAAAATTAAAACAATATAACACAAAATATAAATGGAATAAACCCATGCCCAACAAGGGGTCGGATCATGCATATTAGGAAAACGTGGAATAAAAAAACAAATAATGTAAAGAAAAAAAATTGAAAATTAATTAAATTTAAAAATAAAAATTGTGATGCAAAAACAAAATAATAAAAGTAAGTGCGAATTTGATAAATAAAACAAAGTGCATGACCGATTTAAAAACAAATTTAATGAAATTTGGCAAAAGGGGTAAAATCAATTTTTAAGAAAAGTTTCAGGGACTAAAATCGTAGTTTGACCCTATCCATTGAAAACACGTAGATCCTGGGCTTTGAATCGAGTTTACGGGTTGACTATATAACCCAACAAATGCACAAACAACTTTCATTTTCCACATACCCACTTAAATGGATAAAGAATCCCTTCTTTCTTTTCTCTGAAACATTCATCGTGTTCTTCATTTTATGAAGAATACTCCACCAGAATTCATATAAACCCAGATTCCGACCGTGAGCCGCCTCGCCAGCTGCCGTTCATCGGCGGCGAAACCAAACATGTTTTTACAATACTCGAAAGCTCTCGACTTCCTCTTTTCAAATACCTTAGCGGTTTTCATCAAAATGCCTCGTAGAGAACTAGATCTGATAAAGATCTTTCAAAAAAAAGTTCTATTTGAATAATCAGCTTTTCCTTTTTTAATAAAAAATAAAACAAAACAAACTCCAAACAACCACATGCAAGTGAACAGAGAAAGGTATAGGAAGTACCTCTTTTATTTCTTTTTGTTTTTGAAGTTTACAAGTGTTTTTGCTTTGATTTCTAGCCTGTTTTTTCTTTGATTTTTGCAGTGATTTATAGTATTAAGAGTCTCTTGTTTTTAGTTTGGTTTAGAGTCCTAGTTGGGTTAGGTTTGCTGATTATTGGTTAAATCTTTCGAAAGTAGTCTCCCACTAGGGGTGACTTCTTCAAATCGACCGGGAAAATAGGGCTGTGGAATCAAATTCCACTTCGCTCGGCGGTTAAGGGTTGTTAGAAACCTTAAGACTGGTCTCTGTTTTGGGCCGTTGGATTGGTTGCAGATTCAACGGCTCAGGATCAGCTGCAACGTTGTAATATTCTTAGGGTTTCACAAACCCTAGCTGTTATGCAATCTGGGTCGTTCGATCGATGCTTGATCCTACGGTTGGGGGCTGGGAACGTGTGATGCTTTTACTTAAATTGGAAACCCTAGTTCGCTGGGTCAGGCGAACTTGGGCCTTTGTCTACTGGACTCTTAGCCGGGTCGATTTGCTGGATCAGGCCTGCCACCCGGTTGGGCTCTTTCATGCCCTCATTCTGGACTTGAACTTGGACTCCCTGTTGGACCAAATAACACAAAAAGAAAGAAAATAAATAAAATAATAAATAATAAATCATAATAATATAATAAATATAATAATATACTATACTATATAATATACATATAAATATTTTCAAAAACTATATATTATATATATGTTTTGAAAATGTTTTCAAAAACTATATACTATATGTATTTTCAAAATGTTTTTAAAAACTAATATATTATATATATGTTTTCAAAATGTTTTCAAAAACTATATTTTATAAATATGTTTACAAAATGTTTACAAAAACTATATTATATATATATATATATATATATATATATGTGTTTTCAAAAACTATATATTATATATGTTTTCAAAATGTTTTCAAAAACTATATATTATATATATTTTCAAAAATATTTATATATATATATATATTAAATAGAACCCCGGACGAAAATGAGTGACTACAGTAAGCTCTTTGAGCTTCGAGAATCCGACGACGACGATCCTCTGAATGTTTCTTGAGGGAATGAAAAAATGTTGGTGCTGCCGTTAGTTAGATTCCCATTGGGGAGGGAAAGGATAGGCTTTTGGGGATTGGCATTAGGCTTGGTCTTGGGTTGGCTTTTGGGATATGATACCTTTTACCAACTGTGGTCAATGTGATTGTCGTCGATAATAACGTTAGTCATTTCATTTGACTGATAGAGATCGACGGATGCCATTGTTGAAAACGCTGGAGAAAAAAGAGACAAGAGTGGAGACGAAATTGGTGGGTAAATATCATGAATAAATATCAAGAAATGAGAAATGGATTTTATTTTTTATGTTTCACCACTTGTGGTCCTTGTCTAAATTTGAATCCAATTGCGTATGCGTACCTTCTACTTTTTAATTAAAAAATAGTAAAATATATAAATAGTCCCTTATATGATATTTTTTTATAAAATCTTGTAAAAAGTTATAAAATGATTATCTTACTTAAAACATTATTGAGTTAATATTTTTATTAAAATTTAATTGTAAATTATGTATTTAATCACTCAATTATTTGCGTAATTTTATTTTGATCATTCAATTATTTTTTTAAAAATTATACTTATTGTTACATTTTAGTTTCATCTCTATCATTTGTCGTTAAAAATTAACAAAAATATTGATATGAAATTTTTTATTTTTGAAAGGCTTAAATATATAAAAGGTGTCCAATTTATGCTCGTTTTTCTAGTTTAGTGTCTAACATTTATTTCGTTCCAATTTGATGTCTAACGTTTCACTCAATTACTAAACCATGACAGACCGTTAAGTTTGACTATTAGCTCATTAAAAATATCACCTGGCATATTTTTTAATATTAAAAAATAATTTCTAAAACTAAAAAATTAATTAAAATGAAAAACTAAACCTTATTTAGTCTTTTCCCTCTCTTCCCCTTCTCCATCCTTTTTCTCCACCTTTTTCTCGGTCGTTGATGTCGCCCACCACCATGCGATGGTGCCATCACTGTATTCCTCCTCCTTCACTACCACCCCCGCCGTTGACTACTCGACTTTGATCCAGAACCCAAAATCCATTTTTCCCTTGTTCAAATGAATAAATGCATGAAAATTATGCTTCAATAAATATCAGGTAAAACCCTGATTTATTCAACGAAAAAAGAAAAATACAAGAAAAGATCACTAAAAAGCTCAAACTTGACAACCCAGTTCTAGAAAGAAAGTCAACACAATAATAAAAGAGGGAATAATGGAAACAATATTGTTCCTTGTACACATTAAGGTTGATTTCATTACTTCCAGCCACTCCCTTCTTTAAAGACTCAAAAGCAAAACCCAGAAGCTTAAAATAGATCCTTGTGAAGAACAACCCCGAAACCCAAAATTCATACCACAAAACGAAAGTATAAAACAACCCAGCAAGAATTTTAATCTAATCTTATTCCCCTTTCTTTTTTTCAACTTCAAAGATCCCTCCTTTTTCTGTTGTTC